ACCAGTAAAGTATATAAGAACATACAACTTTAGGACAACATCTTGCATAAAAACAAACACATTCTCAGTAAAAGACTTATCTAGACAGATGCAGAAAGGATAACCACCCATCATAACAAAGTAGAGGGTATGGTAAGAATACAAGAATCACTCAAAATTAAATCTAAATAATTCACCATGTATATGAACTGCAAGAGATAAGTTATGACAAGGAAGTTGAGCTAACGTCACATATAGAAATTTAATACAGAGCTACCATATTATAGAGGAGACAATACTCAAACTATACATCATATGATACCAAATAAAACCACCAGTATCAGAAATGGATTACATCTTTTTGAATCACCGGGAAAACTGGTCCCATAGGCCCCCTCCTCCAAACATAACTGTTTATCACCAAACTTTACAGTAAGACCCTGTTGCTGTATCACTTAAGGCATAGAACATGGACAGAACCAGCTGGTAGTCAACTGGAGGCTTCATCCCTATTGGCTAGAGTTCTTAGTACGGGAAGCTTTAATGTACATTACTGGAGAATAAAAGTAATCATGACTCTCACCCAGCTATGTACCTTGTAAGCTACAAAAACAATCAGCGCGATAGATATGTTCTCTGGTGCAATAGTGGCAGAAATATTATGGGAGCAAACAGACACTTTTTCAAAACTGTATTTAAGTCCCACTCTATGAGACAGAACCCATACCTGACATTGTTAAAGAAGCCAAGAACCTGAGACTAAATAGGTCATGGACCCTAGATGAAACCTACTACTACTATTTTGCTCAATGAACATAGCAATAAAATGCCTCCTGAAGACATAATTTATACTCATACGTGAGTGTGTCATTCAGTCCTAATCATCTTCTTGTAGATGGTTATTAATACAGAGACCCACAATTAGACAACAGCAGAAATTAAGAGACTTTAGAGCCCTATAAGGGATGCCTTCATCACACCTTGGCTCAAGAGACCTATGTGAAGGAATGGCGGGGTCAGGAGGCAGGGAGCAGAAAGAAAGACTGTAAGAACCAGAAGTGGTGGATGACTTTCGTGTTTTCCATACACAACAGGGCAGGTGCACATACGAACGCACAGAGACTGTGAGAGCATGCAGAAGACCTGCACAAGCTCAAAGCAGACAAAATTTCAGCATCAAGAGGAGAAAGTCGTACCCCTAGCAAAGAAGCTATTCACAGTTGATAGTTTGTGGGAGAGGTCTTCAATGAAATATCACTGGACATACCAACCAGACTTCAGGGCAGGCCCCATGAGCAGGAATGGGTAGTCCAAATCAAATTCCATTTTTGTTTGTTTAAAGAGAAAAAGAATATGAAGTTTGCTGGGTAGAGAGGATGGGAGGATCTGGAAGGAGTTAGGGGAAGAGAATACCATAAAACTATATTGAAATTCTTAAAGAGCAAATGAAGACATTAAAAAACGAATAAAGCAAGATAACTCATTTATCATATTTAAACTTACTTTAAAAATCTGTGTTATTAATTAAAATGGATGCCTGGATCCATTAAAGAACATGGTGATCTCAGAAATACAGATGAGGTCAATTATTTCTCAATAACTTTGCAAAGAAATTTACTAGAAAAAAGGTAATTGCCAAAATAAAACTGTCAGGATAATTGTATAAAAACAGGGGAAAATATTATAAATAACCTCAAATGCTCACATGGACACACTCCATAGTCACATACATGTGTTGCAAACACACACATGCATACACACTTACAAAGAAGTATAATCCAAGGGTTGGAGAGATGGCTCAGCTTTTAAGAGGACCTGGGTTCAACTCCCAGCATATGGTAACTCACAGTCATCTATAACTTCCATCCCAGGGAACTTGAATGTCCTCTACTGTTCACACAGGGTATGCACACACATGGTAAGCATACATGCATGCAGGAAGAACATCTATATGTGTGTGAACATGAGTATTTATGATTCTGACATATATGGTTTAATTTAGAATTCTTATCATACTTAAATTTTATCCTTCATGTTTTGTGATGGAATACAAAAAATTATCTGAAGATGTAACTCTTTTATAACTAGTTTGAAGATCCCACAAAGTCAGATTAGTAAACTAAGAAGAACAGTTACATTATCTAATGTATATCAATGGAAGGCTCATAGCACTTAAACTACAAAACTTATTATGAAAGTCCAATGGCAAAAATCTATCAAATATTATAAATACACTTTCTAGTCTCTGAATAGGTTTACAAATCACAGTCAGTAAGAGTCAAATAAATCAGAAATTAGAAGTGCTTAGAAATGGAACAGTTGCATCCATTTTAATGGTTCAAGTTAGTCTGTATGGTATATCTGACTAATTGGATAGGCACAATGATGCACGTCCATGCTGTGCTAGCCACATATGCATCTAAAGTAGATAAAATTAGAATTGGTGGGGGGGCTTATTATATGTTTTGTATTTCTTAGTTTGTGGTCATATTAGTTGCATTTAAAGCAAATTTATATTAGGGTGATGTGGGATGTCCTTCTGAATATGTGTTGCTTTATTGGTTGATAAATAAAGCTGTTTTGGCCAATGGCTTAGCAGAGTAAAGTCAGGTGGATGGCTTAGCAGAGGAAAGTCAGGTGGATGGCTTAGCAGATGAAAGTCAGGTGGGAATTCCAAGCAGAGATAGAGGAGGAAAGAAGGCAAAGTCAGAGAGACACCATATAGTTGCCACCGAAAGAGACAGATGCCAGAATCTTATAGTATATTCTACTTTTATAAACAAATGAATCCCCGAAGATTCATAATTTCCCTGTGAATGAACATGCATTCTGACTAAAATTCAAAGGGAATTTTGACTATGCCAACCTTGGTGTTTGGAGAACTGAAGGAAATCTAAGCATGTTACCTGCTGTATACTCTCTGAGACACAGACAAGCACTGTGGTTAGAAAGGTGTTGTATGGAGAGTTCTTTGTTCCTCCCGGTCATCCGACTAGCTTACACCCGAAATAACCACACAGAATTTGTATTAATTAAATTACTGCTTGGCCCATTATCTCTAGCCTCTTATTGGCTAACTCTCACATCTTGATTTAACCCATTTCTAATAATCTGTATGTCACCACGAGGTCGTGGCTTACTGGGAAAGATTCACCATGTCTAACTTGGCAACTCGATGGCGGCTTTCTTACTCTGCTTTCTTCCTCCCAGAATTCAGTTCTGTCTTCTCTGCCTATGTAAGGTCTGCCCTATCAGGCCAAGCAGTTTCTTTATTAATTAACCAATAAAAAGCAACACACAAACAGAAGGACCTCCTACACCAGAAAAGAAGTCAAAACTGAAGACTACACTTCTATCTATGATGCAGAGACCTGCCGTTCCACACAAGTGCTGTCTCTTTTGTTGGGGCCATTTTATTCCTTAAGAAGCGTGGGTTAGGAGTGCATGTAAAAAAAAAATTAAAGACATATTGTAATATGGGATGCAGTTGATTTTTGATTGCTAAGTTCAGATTCCAACATCTACCAGCGACCTTGAATTGTTACATAGAACAGTCATTAGGGCCGCAGGAAATTCAATGCAAGCAAGCCAGTGAATTTTTCTTCCCATCCATGTTTTGAGAGAGGTACTCTCCAGGGATGCTACTCATTCACGTAGCTTGAAGATGTGAGTGCCCTTGTTTAGAACTTCATGGAACACTTCCTGACAGCTCTTCACTGAGAAATGATTTCCTCCTTATCAGTCTGGTGGGGAACATCTGATAAAAAGCCTCCCTTTCCTCCCACTAAAATAAATCTCCACCTAAAACCAAGAATCAATAACATATCAATGTTTTCGACTATCATCCATGGATCCCCTTGCATATGGCCCTGTCCAGAGCTGAGTGTTTTCAATCACATCAATCTACTGAAGTAATAATGGAACTGGCAATATATCATTACTGCATGAACCAGCAGACATATGCTGATGTTATCAATTCCAGACTAAGGAAAGCCATGATGTGACAATGTTGCCCAAGGACAGAAGCTGCTGACAACTAAGAGAACATCTCACAGGGGAAGCAATTACAGAAACATGAAGTACTCCAACTATGCAGTAGATGAGACGCAATAAATAACAATCAGAAAGCCATGTCTCTTGGCCTCCCTGAGTGTTATTCACCTTCTGTTAGAAGCATGGGATCCAGGAACAGCTCTTTTGCTTTTCAGCTTTTCAGGTCGTAGCTAATCAATGTCTAAACACTGAAGGGGGAAAAGAGAGAGAGAGAGAGAGAGAGAGAGAGAGAGAGGGAGGGAGGGAGGGAGGGAGGGAGGGAGGGAGAGAGAGAGAGAGAGAGAGAGAGAGAGAGAGAGAGAGAGAGAGAATTCCAGGAAACAAATCCATAGTCACAGTTTGTCAAACCTGAGGCTGACCTCTAAAGCCTCACTATAATATGACAGACTTGCCAACTTACAAGCCTGTCTCATTTACCTGCAAGCCAAATAGGTGGTCATGAGAGTCTAATTGTCAGCAAGTCTATTAAGGCCTTCTTTGCTAATATACTATCCATACATTCCCACAAGAACTTCAGTCTGTCTGTGGGAAAGTTTATGAATTCTTTCAGTTCCAAAATGTCCTTCAAAGCTTAGGAGAAAGAAGACAGGAAAAAAAATCAAACAATGCACTTAAACCAAACTAGAGTCTGTCACAAATACAAAGTAATCCATGTCACCAAACGTAACTAACATGAAAATCAAAACAGAGGCTTGGCTCTGGTGTACTAGAGAAGCCCACCTAGCCCATCCATGTTTTCTTCCTAAGAAAAGACAAATTACTAAACTCTAAGTAATGATGACATCACAACACATTCTACTTGCGCTTTTTTCTTTCCATGATAGAATCTCAGCCTCTCTTACTGGAGCTCTCTTAAATCTGGACCACTTTCTACAGGACTAAGTGTAAAACCTGGCAAGCTGCAAGCAAGGGCTTCCCCATACATTCACAGACAGAGCATCATAATGTATCGTAGAGGTTTGTCTTACCGTAAGGCTATTGGGCCAAAGTACATAAACAGCTCCTTCCCCAAGGTTTCCACACCACTGTAAACATGTCCATTAAACAGTCTCAAGAATTTCCAGCCAGAATCCTGAGTATTCATTGTGGCAGCCTAGTAGAAAATACATACATATGTAACACACACACATGCAAACTCTAAATACAATTATAACGCAATTCTGAAATCCACTCCTATTATCCCATGACCAGGTTCATTCCTAAAAGAAAAGCAACCTCTGTGAAGCCAAATAATGGAATCATCTATACACTTGTATTTTGTCCAATTACTATGCAGTGACTCGAAAAGACAACAGCCAATTTTTTAATTGAAAAATAAAAGTCAGTGTAAATAATTAAGATGACCTTTTCCCAAGACCATAGGGTGTATGTGTGCGTTTGTGTGTGTGCGCGTGTGCATGCACAAGAAATTATAGTGAAGTTATGAGACTGTTGTAGAACTAACAAAGTTTTTTGCTTTCAAAACTATATACAATCATGATCCTTGAAGGGGTATTCCAACTGGACTGCTAAAAGTAATGAATAAAATATGAAAATGTAGATTTTTAACTGTACTGGTGAACTTTTAGGAAAATATAGTTAAGTCAAAAATCCACACCAAAAATCTAAACAAAGATCCACGTGGAGAGAACCAGTAAAACCCTGAGCTAGCCTTTAGCATAAGGATCCTTAAGAGAGCTATTGAATGAGACTTCCCCTTCCCATGGTCTGTGGATGTTACAAATTAAAGCCTGGCATCCAGAGTGGGAGATCTAATACATGATATGTCCCACCATATGTCAACCATAATGTCAACCCAAAGAAAAGGAAATTCACTTTCCCATCAGCCTTCCAAAACCAAACAATTTAGTTAGGATTACAATTCATGTAATTGTGAACATAAACTAATGCAACGCATAAACACTAAATATAGGTTCCTTCATGGGGGAAGATAAAGAATAGGATTTAGCTTAGATATTGGTAACGTTTGTTTTCTTAGGCTCAGCAGTGTGTTACTAGTGTTCCTCATATCATACTTTATTATCTAGGTATTTTTCAGAGGCATCATTTAGTGAACACACAAAATTTAATAAAACTATTAAACATATACTCATAACTCAGTCCAATTCTAGAGGAACCTATGCTTTTTCTCTGGTCTCTACAGCATTGGGAATAGATGCCGTGCACATACATAATGCAAGTAAGATACTCATACATATAAAATAAAAATAAATGCATCTTTACATAAGATAAGATAGGCACAAATGATAACCACATATTTTTAAAGGATTTTAAAAATTACTTTTAGTGTGTTTTAATGTGTGTGGAGAGGTGCAGGTTAAGGACAGACAAAGTTGTTGATCCCTTAGAGCTAGAATTACATGCATTTATGAGGCACCCAGTGTAGATACTGGGAACCAGTAAGAGCAGCAAGGTCTCTGTAAGAGCAGCAAGTGCTCTTTGCTGTGAGAACTTCTCTTTAGCCCCAATCTATACACAACATTTTTTGAAATTCTATTTATGTTCATCTATGTGAATTTAGACTCGTGTGTTTCAGAGTTGCATACATACATACCCACTGGGGTCAGAAGAGGGCCTTGGGTCTCCCTCTCCTCAGTCTGTCTTTTACCATATGAGATCCTGTTTTCTCAGGGAGGCAGAAATTTAGCAAACCCCAGTGACTGTCCTGTCTTTAAACCCTCACAGCTGAATTTCAGGCACTTAGTGGGATGCTCAGTTTGTGAGGTGGATGCTGAGGCCTGGCCCTCATGATTCTGCACCAAATGCTCTAAACAGCTGAGGTATTAGTTATAGGCTCAGAACAACTGGTAAACACATACAAATAATGGTTAAAACTATAAAAGCTTTCTAGTTCTGAAAAGAAAAAAAAATAAACAGGAAAAACATGTGAGATTCTGGCATCAGAATTACCGGTCCAGATGTTACCATGTCCTTAGAACTTCGTCTTCTGAATTCTCTTTTCTTCCACAAATGAACTCAAAGACCTCTGTATGATTAACCAGTTCTAACAAGACAGGCTAGAGTACTCAGGGAGGGGAAAACACGCATTCCAATCTGCTTTGTTTTTGTAAATGAATATGTGACTGCCCTGGATTGACTGACAGCAAGAGTCTTGCTTTTCTGTCTCCTGCAGTCTCTAAGCCACTTATACACACTTCAAGCCAGGGATAGACTGCAACAGCAGATTTCAAGGTAGGTTTCCATGGCAACCAATTATTATGTACAATGGCCTTTAAACTAGCAAGGACACTTTTAAGATGATGGAATACAGAGCAGACATAGATCTTTTATGAGTAACTTTTGTCTAAGTAAGGGTAGGTCACACTTTGGGGATCCGAGATTTAAAAGTCTTACTGTCATTTTAAATTTGCACTTACACATTAATGCCTCAGAACCTTGTTTCTTCGCCATTCCAATGACAACTGTCTCTTCTTCTGCCCTGTAAATTCTTCATTCGTATCTGGTTTTAGCCATACATACTCTCTGAGATGTTCTACTCAGGCTTCCAGCAGAGAGCCAGTGATCAATTGTATCCCGTTTAACACCACACACACACATGCACGCACACACACTTGGGCCTACCATGTTTCCCAGGTTCTTGGTTCAAAGGGAAATAGCTCATTTGGCCCGATGTGTTTACAAGTTAAAGAACAAACTCACATCTACCCAACATCCGGTCAATGACATATGCTTTTTTTCAGCTGCCACATTGATGTTTTTCCCCTTAGAGTCCTACACCACGTCCCTTCCCTACATGAGAGCTCATATGTTTAGATGGTTCTTTCCACCCACTTATTCCCTGCCCAGATGTATTTCTTTCTTTCCTTCACCCAGTTCTGACTTCACCATGCTTTATAATGGCTCTTGGCAAGGACTCGGGGGCTGTCACAATACGCATAAAGTAGTAAATGAGTTTTAATTGTTTCATGTGAAGCTGCCTCAAATTGCTAAATTAACAGCTTTGACAAGAACTTACATCACTCACGTAAAAACTGTAGATGCCCAACCGCTATGACAGTTCATGCTACTCTCTTCGCTTTGTCTACAGCTGACATCCAAAGTGGCACATGACATCTCGAAAGACAACTCTTTCCATTTACACATGGCTGATTTGTGACTGTATAATTGGATTAGTTCATTTCAGAAAAGTGTGTTGACTTCCCTGTATATTTCAGACTGTGTTCTAGAAGGTGGGCAGGTATCAATAAGTAGAACAAACTAAATTCCTCCATCATTGTGGCATTCATCCTCTCATGGGGAAAGGACAGGGAGAGGCGTATGAGAATGGTTTCTTAGGATATTTGAAAAAAAGAAATAGAGATGAAGAAATCAAGTTGCCAGGAGGGTGCAGCCCGCTGCAATTTTAAATAATTTCAAAGGGGAACTGGCACTTGCCCAAGTTGTAAAGGATGTAAGGGAGTGAGCCATGGCTTTGGTAAAAGGAGTAAGAGTGCAATGTCTCTCCTGTGTCACAGACCAGGGTGGCTACTGCAGAGAGAACTAGCGGGATAAGATGAGTGAGATTTGACATATACAAGGAATCTGATTGTGTGGTCCAAGGTCCAATTCGTGGAGTGGCTTTTTCGTCTTCATGGAGTGAAGCAAAAATATGGTCTATATTAGGATTTGAAATGAAATCAGTGGCTGCTGGATTTGGCTGAAGGAGTTGAAGGTTAGAATCTGAATAGTCCTTGAGACAACCGCAAAGATCCAGCTAAGGAGCACAAGGATCTGGATCAGTGAGGTCCAGCGTCCTGAAAATGGCCAAATTCTTAAACATGTTTTGAAAGTCAAACAAAGTTATTTGCAAATGAACTGAATGAAGAGCAGGAGAGATGGAGAGCTGGGATGATTAGTTTGGGGCATGAACCATAAGAAAGACGTCACAGAGAGACCTGAGGAAAATATACAGGACAGAAAAGGTGGGTTTGGTGGGAGACGTGTGAAAGTTGAGGTGTCTGGTGCTGTGGAGGCTCATGTCTTTAATCCAAGCACGTGGGAGGCAGAGATATACACGTGGAAAAATGCTTCAAGGAAGAGGACGTGTCAGCGGCTGCTGGCAAGCCAAGTAAGACAAAGTCTGAGCTTGGCCCCTGGACTCAGCCATATAGGAGTAATTCATAGAAAGAGATTTAGAGGTGTGAGAACAGGAAACACCCGATGAGCACAAGGCCTGTGATATAGAGACGAGGAATCGCAGCAGTGAGGCAGAATGAATGCACAAAGGCGGGAGATGAGAGGAAGTGGAGAAAAGCAAATTGTGTTCGTTTTGAGATGATCTGCGCTTGTGTATCAATGGGAAAGAATCAGGCGCAGAAAGCAACCACACAACACAGCACCTGCTGCACCATCCTTAGGAAGCAAGAAGAGAAGGCTAAAGCACACGCAATGTGCTGGTCTTGATGGAGACATAGAATTTAATATCAGGACAGAGGACAGACAACACAGGTATAAAGGGGAGTTGGTATGGAGTCATACCTGTGGTATTTATCTACAGATTGATAAGTTTTCTGAATAAATCAGGAAACTAAGAGGAATATAGTCCCCCAGGGACCTGGATCCTCAAACACTGTGTGTAGCACGTAAGAACATTAGTCCATCTTATCATTCTCAGGTTGAAGCCAATGTCCAAACACAAATGGCATCACCAGGTCCATCCTCTCATTTGAAATCTGTCAAAAGACATCTATGAAAAAAAAATGGTCTTGAAATCGCATTTGATAGCACAAAACTAGGCACACCTAGTTAGCCCAACTAAATCTCATTCATGAATGATCCTCATCTCACTGAAAGAAAATGCTCTTGATCGCTTACCTAGTTAATCCTGTGCTTACCTACATCATAACTCTCCTGGTATTTTTTAATCATATAAATCCAAAAACCTGGCCTATATATGACAGATATTTTGTACTCTATAAGGACAACTGTCCCACTGTCAGAACACTGAAGTTGAATTGAGGAGCAAATGTACCAGTATTTATTGTTATAACTGGAGAACTGAAATATTTATAAGTAAAATTCACATCTAATTTTTGGTACCTTTCAAAGATAAACCACTATACTCAGACATATGTCTCAGAAGCATCCTATAGA